GGCCTGGGGGCAGGGGGCGCGGGACACTGCAGTTGGAGGGTGGGGCTGGAGCCTGGGCCACCGCCTCACCCCGCCCTCGCTGTTCCCTAGGCAATGGGGAGACCCCAGTTCCAGGCTCGAGGGCGCCGTTGTCCCCCACCCTGCTGCAGGTAAGCTCCGCTCCGGCGGTGATTGGCAGCCGCGTCCCGACTCGGCAGCCCCAGCCCTGGGCGGGACCCGAATGCAGCTCCCTGCGCTGCCGCAGTGATCTAGAAAGCGGGTTTCCCAGCAGCTCCTGGGCCCTGAGCCGAGGAACAAGTTGTTTCAGTTTCCTCCTTCTTCGGTGTCAGGAGGTTGAATACCGGAACTGTGTAAACCTGGTTCAGTGGCTTCTAGCCAAGCAGTTGTCAAGGGATACCTGCGTGCTGGATGCCGCTGGCTTAGCAGGGAATGATAGGCAGCAGTTCCACAGTTGCGTGAAAGGCTTTCTGGTGGAGGAGATTCGATTTCTAGGAGGTCCTAAGGTGGAAACTCCCCAGTTTCACCCTCCTGTGCGCGAGAACTTTCTGGTAAGCTCTCGAAGGTGAGAGGAGGTAATTTATCCTTCACTGGAGGCAGTTAGGCCTGGTCTAGAGGATGACTTAGGAGAGATGTAGACAGGATTCAACACCTTCAGTGAGGAGGATTCAGGTTTAGATCCAGAGTGGACGGAGGGAACTCGAGTTTCCATTAACAGCCACTGATGGATGGTTGGGTAGAAAGCCTTCATTCATCTTTAAGAACTGAGATGAGAAAGCTTTTTATTCTCTAAAGTAGCATACAGTGTCCAAAACAGGCAGAACCCAGAATTTAAAAAAATTTTAAAGGGTGTGGTAAAAACTCCTAGTTTTTTTTGTTTGTTTGTTTGTTTGTTTTTAAGTGATTTGATTCTGATTGCAAAATACAGGTGAGGAGCACGGGCAATGCCTGTAACCCCTTGGTTGCCCATCTTCCCATGCTATGCTCCTATAAATACCCTTTGTACAACAGCAAGCTTATGGTGTCCTCAAGCGCTTGCACATTCTAACAGCTGCAGAGTATAGTATAGGACCAGGTGGAAAGTTAAACAAATGCCCCACTCACAAGGTAGGGCCCCTCCAATTAGTCTTCGTACTCCCTTTTGCTAATAGGAACTGCTTGCTCTTCCTATTGGTCATAGATAATTACACCTGCACAATTCTCCGAGTGCTTTCAAGTAATCTCAGAAGGCAGTGACTAAGACCCTTTCCTTGCTCCCAGCTTCCTATGTCCCAGGCTGCCTGTGGCACCCGGACTGCTGCTGCCCCCGGGTCCCGCACATTCCAGGATGAGGATGGAGGAAGAGCAGGCAGGCCAAGCATGAGGAATTAACAGTCTTTACCAGGCTCAGACCAGGAGTCCGTGGGTCTTGAGGACCTCTGTGTATTTGTCAGTTTTCTCCTCCACGTTCTTCTCGGCCTGTTTCCGTAGTCTCATGAGCTGTTTCTTCTTCTGGTAGGGGATCTTGGCCTTCTCCTTCCTCTTCTCCTCCACGGTGGCTGTCACTGCCTGGTTCTTCCAGCCAACCTCGTGAGCCAGGTGCCCCAGATAGGCAAACTTTCTTGTAGGCTTCAGACTCACGGCCTTGAGAGCAGCAAGAACCACCGCCCGCTTTTTCTTGTCCTAGGGTGGTGGGATGCCGTCAAACATGTTGGGGTGCTCCAGGGCAGCCTGGCCTCACTTGGCCCCGCGGGGCAGCATGCCTCGCACGGTCCGCCGGAAGATGCCACTGGTGGCCCGGAAGTGGCGGGGTCCCGGAAGTGGCGGGGTCCCGGAAGTGGCGGGGTCCCGGAAGTGGCGGGGTCCCGGAAGTGGTAGGGGCCTCTGAAAGAATTGGTGTTCATCTGCTTGCGTAGGAAAACTGGTACTTCAACTTGTTTCTGTAGAAATTGCTAGAAATGTTGATGCCCTCGCAGCGTATGACCACCACCTTCCAGCTCAGCAGTGCCTGCTTAGCCACGATGGCCGCCAGGCGGCCCAGGAGATGGCCTCGACCATTGAGGACCTGCACCTCCGCCATCTTCGGCAGCCATCTGGGAAGAGAAGATCCCTGTTTTGAGTGTAGATTAAGTTAATGCAGCCGACTCCAAAAGACAAGGCTTAGGCAGTGGAAGCCTACTTCCCTCTCCTCAAGTAAAGGCTCAGAGGCACAGAGACGGGAAGAGGTGGCCTGAGCCCGTGAGCCAAGGGGTCGTCTCCAGACTGAAATTCCCTCCGCCTGTTTGCTGTACGGTCCTTTGGAGTCTCGCCTGCTTCGTGGTCAGTACCTGTACTCAGGCACCAGGACCGTGTGCACATCCCAGCTCACAGGAGGGAGGAAGAGAATGCTGCTTCTTAAGCCCATGACCCTGAAGTTTCCCACCATTTCCACTTGTGTCCTACAGGCTGAAACTTAACTTTCCCTTGAAGGGAAGTGACCCTCCCTTCAAGGGAGGCTGAAAAATGTCATCCCCAGCTGATCAATAGTGGGCCTGGCTAAAAAGGGAAGAGTGGTACCCAGCAACAAGAGGCAGTTCTGCGCAGTCCCCTCTGGCTTCTCTGGCTGGCCCTTCCCCGCCCCCCGCTAGAGAAGGTGTGAATCTGCGTGGCGGTGGTGCAACACTGTCTGTCCACTCCGTCTTTCCAGCAGCCCTTTTCTCTGAAACTGCCCTGTGACCACACAGACCCTCACCTGGGCCTGCACCTTGCTCCAAGCTGACCCTGCCTCTCTACTTGAAACTCTCATTCCCACTATTAGGGGCAAAAAACTTGATGGAACAAATTTATAACAAGGTGCCTATGCTTAGTGATTCATTATTATAATCTCCACGGGGAGTATTTCCATTTCTTAAGCCAAGTAAGTTAAATGATGAACTATAACAAGCAGTGAAAGATACATTTTTGTTTATTTTTAAACAAATCTAAAACGTTCGTTATTATCAAAGAAAGAAAGTTAAAACATAATCGAAGACAGTGTGCAAAAGATATGCATCTTGATATTTCTCTTTTCTCTGTGTCACCTTCAATTTCGTGCATCATTTCTCCTATTGTTATGTGCTGGTTAATTTGCTTCAGGTTGACACCTTGAGCTGTTCTGGGATCCAGGTTTTTCTTGACTGGTCTTACATCATCTAAGGGGAGTGCCACCCACATGTGCTTATTAGCTGTCTTTCATTGATTACTTGACTGAGTTTCATCCTCACTGACATTTATACCAGGACCATCTAATTTTCGTTCTTAGTTTTCTTTGCTCTCATTGTTACTTCTCTTTTCCACCTTCCTTTTATTTCTTTTCTGTTTTGTGACTTCTTATTTCCTTAACTGATGGAAGGCATTTTTTCGAAGCAAGCTGCTGCTGCTTCCCTCTTTAGTAAAGTACAAAATATATAAAAGTTCCTTTCAATGAGTACTTATGGAATGCCTACTGTATTCAGGGTGCTGGTCATCTAGTTCTCAGAGCTTGTGTTTAAATACATAACCATCCCCCTCGTGGCCTTCTTCTTTGGCACAGTCCTGTCTTCTGAAAACTGACCATCCTCAAGGTGGATGATCCTGAAGTTTCCTTCTTGGGAAGAGGAGCACCAGTGTGCCTTGTGGGCTGCCATCTTATCCCCTTCACCACCCATCCCCTTCCTGGAAGGCACTGTCACAACTCCACATCACAGCATCTCTGAGCCTTACAATGGTGCAGAGGGTGACTCACCCTACTTCTGAATAACTTCCTAAGAAGATGCATATTTATTCCACAAGTCACAGCATCTTATCCCCCAGGGGATACTCCTGTGGCAGCTGGGTCTCTTTCAGGCCCATGTTTAGCCACATGATTTTACTCTGAGCCCCATTTAAGGTATTTCCTGCCTACATTAGGCCTCAGTGATTTCCAGTTACCTCGGGTGAGGCACCAGTACGAAAATCCCCAGGGTTACGGCACTTGATGGAGCTGAGCCGCCTCTGTGCCTTTGCCTTGTGGAACTCAGCAGCCATGTCCACGCCCCATTGTCTGCTACGAAAATCCACCTGGGGAGATATTAAAATCACCCTATCCAGATCCAGTGATGCCTCTTTCATTGTCCCCAGGTGTCTGAATCTCCCTGGCTCCATACCCCGTCCCTGAAGACCAGCTGTGAATACGCGAGCCTCTACTTCCAGCCTGCCGCCAAGATGGAGGACAGTGATTCAAATGACTACATCAATGTTCCTGCCTGACAACTCCCCAGCTGTCCCCTGACCCCAGGCCCAGACTGTGGTGCCAAGGAGTCTCGCCTGTCTGCTGATATCCAATACCTGCTTCATGTGTTCTCAGAGTCATCATCACTTCCCCTGCCCCATCTCAAATCCCATCCCCTTCTATCTATGCCCTGAGCGTGGCTCTGCCCCCAGGTCCTCTTGCACACCTTAGCAGCCCCCTATAGTCAACTGGTAAGGTCGAGGCATGCAGAGCAGTTGTCACAATGCGACTTGCTTCCTTTTTAAGCCATCTAACAGGCTATGGGATTTGCAGTGTGTTTCTTCAATGTCTTTGACCACAGGGTTGTTGCTGCCTAGGCTCTAGATTACATGGCATCAGGCTGGGGCAGAGGCAGAACTATTCTCAGGCATCCTTCCCAGGTTTGGGTCTTACACAAATAGAAGTCTCATTTTCTGAGTTATGTGGATAAGCCTCAGCCCCATGGACTAGGCAGGGGTCTAGTATGAAAACACTCCCAGAAATGGCTTTGCCCTGATCCAAAAGTTAGCACCTGCTAGTGAACATCTACTTATCTCAAGTTATATGCTAAGGGCAATTTATCTTGGTGTGATGATGTATTCTAAATTTTCAGAACCGAGCTTGTTAGTGAGATTTGCATATTAAAAAGTCTTTGCCATCTCTTTATCTTTCTTCCATAGCCTGATGCTGATATTTGTGCACTTAACTTTGGTCTATTTTAGTCATGCAAAACTATTATATTTCTCAGCTTTCACAAATGTTCCTCATTTCTTTGCCAGTTCCAGACAACACATAGCAAGGTGAGGAAGGAAAACAGTCAGGAGTTCCTGGGTGGCCAGGGCTCTGCAGTAGCACTTATGTCATGGAAAAAGAGATATCCCACCTCCTACATATAATTTTTGTCTAAGTTTTTGGAACAAGGTCATAGTCAGAGGTTACATCTTCAGATTGATAGCGACCACAAAGTTCAACCAGAGCTTGAGGCTAGATGCCCAGCCTTGCTTTTGGGAAGAAGGCCTTTTCTGGCTATACAACACAGTCTCGCTGGGCATTCATCCAGAAATAGAAAAGAAAGGCTGCCAGCTTTGAGTTGTGTTGCCTTTTATCAGCAGGGAGTGTCATCACAGATTGGACAGTACATCCAGGTGCAATGTCATCATCAGCAGGTCAGCTTGACACTCAAGTGGCAGATTAGGGAAGAATGACTAGGATAAAAAAAAAAAAAGGCACCAAGGAAAAGGGATGATGGGGTAAGCTGTTGAGTGTGGGTGGAAAATGAAATGTTAGCATCTGCTTTGTGCTGGGCACTTTAATCCACGTTTTATCTTTTATCATTTACTTTTCAAACTGATGTCTCTTCCCCACACCCCCATGCCCACCAATGCTCTGTCCCTGCAGATATCAGAAGACAGTGTGATTTCCATTCTCTAAAGTTCAGTTTTACATCCCAGCACCCCTCTGTTTTTCAATAATCCAAAGACAGGCAAAAAAAATTAAAACCACAGTTTATTAAGTACTTAGTGAGCACCCCTCCACTGCCCCACACTGTGGCAAGGATTGTGAGGGGTAAAGGAGGAGCATGGGGCACAATATTCTGCTGTCTTCATGGAACTTATAGTCTCACAAATAAATAGAACATCAGTTGAAATACTGACATTAATTAAATAGCGTTGTAATAAATACAGGAATCTTCTCTGTAGACTCCACAGCATCCAGAGGCACCTTCCCTGACTCTCGCTGGGGCTGCTTAAAGAATGACTTCTTTGATAATATTCCTGGGCCAAAAATGGGACCCATGGCCAAGGGTGTCAAGTGTCCAGTGAACAGCATAGGAAGGGAGTCTGTTTGAAATGACACAGGGAATGGTCTGGTGGAGGTGGAATGGAGTCCTGGTCTAGACATTCAGAACTTGTAGAATTTCTGCATCCAGGTCAGAAGAACATCCACTTCCCCAAGGGCTTTGGTCAGAGCTGCTTCCATGTCCAACTAAAGGGAAAGGAGGGTTCAAGGTCAGCCATGTTAGCTATGAGAATAGTCTTTCTTCCAACCTGCCATGCCTGAAATAGACCTGACTCCAATCCATGGGATGGGTCACTTTTGGGTGACCTCTGATACGCTCACCTGCCTGTCACTTTTCCTCCGTCTACATGTGTTTGTCTGCTTCAGGGGTGAGGACAAACAGGACAGTGAGTAATTGTGGGCAAAGAACAAGGGGAAAGCATATGGCACCCCGAATAACAGGTACCACAAACTCCAGTATGGGGTGGATGTGGCCCACCATCTGAATCCACCGCACAGGTGAAGTGAGCCCAGTTGGCCCCTCTCCATCAGATGTGATCTTCACTATTTATTTATAGGCTGATGCATCTCTTCCTCAAAAAGTGATCAAAATCATTTGTGTTTTGAGGAGGGCTAGGGATGAAATGTGGGTTTTGTTGTCATAGTTTTGGAAAAGCCAGTATAATTTCCCATAATTGTTTTTCACAACTAGACAATTTGAGCACCATGAAAAATACTGCAGGTGTCTATGGGTGGGGATGGGGCTTCTCCCTTCTTTCTCCCTCTCTTCTGACTTCAGTTGCCCAGCTCAAATACCCACAAAAGACAGGCAAAATTCCTCTAGTAAAATCATCTTGTAGGAAGGAAATATAAAAGCACTTTGACTTGAAAACTGGAAGAAAAAAAGATCACTTAGTTTATGATACTTCTGCAAATATACCTGTGCTCCTGCTAAGTCGGGGGGGTTGGGGCAAAGCTGATGGTGTCCCCTGCATTACATTCTGCACTGGGTCTCTAAAGTGCCCTTATGTGACAGTTCAGCTTAGTCTATTCTGCTGGATGGAGAAGCTCTCAGCTCTTAGCCTTACCTGTTTAAATGCTCTCCGGAATAGCAGAAACCGCCTGTGTGCACTGTCTCTGATGGCAAACATCTCATTTTCCTGCTGTATAACATGGAAAAATAAATTGTGCCAAGTTTTAGGTAGAAGCAGATACAAGCTCCCTCTCACTTTTCCTGACAATGCCACAGGGGTTCCCAAAGCCTGAGAGGCCAGGTCTGAATCCTGCATCCCCAAGGTGCCCAATACCAAACTCCCACCTTGTGACAGGGGCTGCCTCCTGTAATTCTCACAGCAATCCTGCCAGGCAGGAGTGTTCATCCCCATTTTACAGATAACAAACTGAAGCCCAGGGAGGTGGAGGACTTTGCAGAGGGTCACCCAGTGGATTGGAAGGAGACCTAGACTGGAACCCAGAACTGCCAGTATCCAGAGCCTGTGATACTCACGCTGGGTTGCAGTTGTGACACGATGAGAACGAAGTTGTTGGCCAGAGTGGAGAATGACTTCAGAGTCCTAACTTCAACTGTTCTATCGTGGTAGTTTTTGAAAACAGTTTTCAAGTAGAACTCCAGCAGGGTGTGGACAAGGTAACAGCTCTCAGCAGCCTGGGGAAGGTCTGGGTCACTGCTGAGCCAATGCCTCTGCCCACCCTGGCCCCTGGAAGAATGACCCTCATGCCACCCAAGACAAGATAAGCACAGCAGAGATAGGGATCTTCTAGGAGGTGATGATGAACCTTAGATCTGTAGGAGCCTTTCAGGGGCCATGGAAAGCAGCACCTTTGTTTGACAGGAGGAACCAGGACCCAGGGAGAGAAATGACCTGCCCTAGGTCACATAGTAAATCAGTTGCAGACACAGCCAAGCTCCCAGGATTCCTGACTGCCTATCTGGTTAATATTATCTTTCTTCTCTGCCACATGGCTTCTTTAACAGCTGTGGGGATGTGACGGACCCTGAAAAGCACTTGAACTTGGACTTGGTGGTAGAGAGTTGGCTGAGAACAGAAGAAATCAGGTGAAACTAATATCTTTGGACACAGCAATTGCACTCCAGCCCTCTCAAGCTCCTGAAGCACCACATCTTCCAGGGCTTAGGGCTCAGTAGGTTTGTGCCCACTAGATGGGTGATAAGAAGATGATGACCCACCCATGATAACATAGTCTACCTGACCATGGTGAAAGAAAGGATGAAACCTTTTGCTAGATACTATCTTTAGTCATGAGCTTGCTTTGCAAACAGAAGGAAAAGATGTCTCCATGTTAGGGGTCAGCATAGAAACCAACTCTGCAAATACGTGCTGCTTCCCTAGACCCCTGAATCTATCCAGTCCGGGAGATATCAAAGGCCATAGGGACTAAGGGAGGACCCAGGAAAATGGACCTAGAGAAAAGGATGAAGATGGAAGAGGGGACATGAACCTGAGTAGATGTCCACGGGGCCTACACAAGTAAAAGAGAAATATGTAATTCTCTGTCTAAATGGAGAAAGATGTTTACAAGCCTCCACCTCGCCTGCTCCCAGTACCAACGCATACACATACTACAACCCCAGACACTGACTTCCCTGGCTCACAGCCTGGCCCTATTCTATGTAAGGTCAGTCCAGGGAAGAAGTGAAGGGCTTTCATCAACCTCCCCTAAGAAATCCTTGCACTCCCACCCATAGTAGAACAGAACCACAGAGGGTGGTATCCCCAAGGTGGGATTACCGAGACATTCTGCAGAACTTCCTGCCGCAGCAGCCGGACACTCGTGATGTTATCTTGAGCCTGCTTTGCAAACAGAAAGAAAAGATATTTCCAGGTTAGGGGTCCGCATAGAAACCAGCGCTGTAAATACGTGCTGCTTCCCTAGACCCCTAAATCCAGTCTGTGAGATCTCAAAGGCCAGAGGGACCAAAGGAGGACCCAGGAAAGGCTGTGCTGAACAGGCTTATGGCCAGGGGAGACAAAGTTGCAGCCATGAAAATGACCAAGCTTGGCCCCCAAGAAGCAAATGGAGTCCCAGGATTTCTTAATTCTTAGAGCCTGAACACAGATTCGACAAGGAAGCTGATTGATGCCTCTGGTCATTTGAGATGGGAGGAAATAAGCCTATCTGCTTTAAGGACCACTGTGGACAGGATTTTGGCTCCATGTTCCACATGGTGAGGAAGCGGGGTGTGAGGGCAGACAGCCTATACCTCAGAGCTGCCTCTCGCCCTCGGAGCTTCCTCCGCAGCCCAGCCATTCATTCTGGTTCTCAGATTTAGAGCTGACGACTCCGTTCAGGACAAAGCCTGGATGAATCTAGCTCTCTTCATGGTTTCCCTTGGGCTCTGTTTATGTCACTGGAGACTGGTCACATTTTTTTCTGAGCCCCCGTTTCCTCATGTGTAAATGGGGTTTGTGATGCCTTCTGGCCTCAGAGTTATTATATGGGAAACTGATTAGCAAGCTTTGAAGGGCTCCAGAATCATAAAATAGCATCTTCCCTCTGCCCCCCGACCCCCTGGCCCTCAGAGCCCCCATGGCTGGGTCCAGAACAGCACTTGACTCACCATAGTGTCCTTCACAGCCCAGAAGGCTTCCCACAGTTTCTGGGGAAGAACTCCCTTCACTTGGCAGGGCCCAAATTGGAATTTTTGGCCCTGGGCCCCTGGCACCTGGCTCCAGAGAAGCAGGAGACTCAAGCAAGTGAGCGCAGCCATCTGCATTCGAGAGGCCATCGCCAGCAAAGGGGGACAGGAGGGTCTGCTGAAAGAAAGGGAGGCAGCTCCTGAGGCAGGCCCTCTCACCCAGAGTGATATGCCCTGGAAAAATGCTCTGAGGGTCTGCCCAGGCCAATCCCTGGGGCTCCTGAATGGGAAAATTGAGACTATTGCAAACCGGTGGCCAAGGGTGCACTGGCGTGAGGCAGGGGTCTTTCTGCCCCTCCAACTTAAGGCCGCTGGTCTTGCCATCTCTCCACCTGCTCTTCCCCACCTTGCCCATTCACGCCCACACGCCCTGCACCTCCTCCTCCTCCATCACAGTTCTCTCTTGCCTCAAATCTGTGAGTCAGAATTTGACCGAGAAGAGTGGAGAAATGGGAGGTTCTAATGTGCCACATCTGGGGAGTCCAAACCCAGGAAAACAAAGAGTTGAACTAGATGTGTGCTTGTACAAGTTATGCCCTTAAGTCACCAGGCACACATAGGAAGGCAAGTCTTTTTCTCCTCCCCAGGAGACGGCTGTCCCTCACTCCTCATCACAAGGGAGTATGGGATTAATCCTAGTTCTGGGGAGGGGCACGGAGGGCAGGACAGGGGAGTCCTGCACCTCCACTAACCACTCTGCCGCCTCCACTAACCGTTCACTCTTGAGTTTAAGAATTCACTTTTTAAGTAACCAAGTAAGAGAGATATATCAGATTTCCAGATGAATCATCTCCAAAGCCTCCCTCTGAAGTGCCAATTGGGAAGCACTGTGTGAAGAGTCTCCAAGCTGGGGAACCTAACACCATTATGCATTTATTATAACTGATGCAGAGAATTTCTTTCTACCTGCCTTCTTTGCCCTTTGCCCTTTCCCTCCCTCTCTCCTTCCTCCTTCCCTCCCTCCCTCCCTCTCTCCCTTCCTTCCTTCTTTCCTCCCTTCCTCCCTTCCTTCCTCCCTTCCTCCCTTGCTCCCTCCCTTTCCCACTCCTTCCCTTTCTTTTGTACTTCTTTCCACAACCATTTAAGAACCTTTCTTACACCAGGCACTGGTCTGACACCTGAAGGAACTGCCTCCCACCCCTAGACTGGGAGGAAGAACAAAGACCCGGTTCTGCCAGCACTTGGGCTAGGGAGGCGACGACCCTGGGTTAGAGGTCATGAGGGGTAGGGGCTGTGCTTCAGCATCTCCCTCAATGTCTTCTCATTCTGTTCTTTCAAACTCCACAGGCTCTTTTTTTTTTTAGATAGGATCTCATTCTGTCATCCAAGCTGAAGTGCAGTGGCGTGATCTCGGATCACTGTAACCTCTGCCTACCAGGTTCAAGTGATTCTCATGCCTCAGTCTCCTGAGTAGCTGGGATTTTTGTATCTGAAAATATTGAAAACACATGCCCAGCTAATATTTTTGTAGAGACGGGATTTCACCATGTTGGCCAGGCTGGTCTCAAACTCCTGACCTTAAGTGATCTGCCTGCCTTGGCCTCCCAAAGTGCTGGGATTACAGGCAGGAGCCACCGTGCCCAGCTAAACTCCACAGGTTTTGCAGCCTGTACTGAAAATCCATCTCTCAGTCTCACATTCCTCCCGGTCTTCCTCCCTAGCAGCCTCAATTCTTCCTGGTGTTAAATTGGCGAAAGCAGCTCCTCATCACAGTAATGTCTTGTCCCTACATCAACACTCAAAAAGTTGACTTCTGCTGTCCCAGCCTCAACCCCCATTCACAAATAAAGCAGAAGTCTAGTGCTTCAAAGAAAAGTACCCAAGAATCCCCCATGCTCACCTCTGGTCCTGTAAGTGATGCTTGAGGGCTCGCTGTCTGGAGGGGACTGGTTCTTTTTGCAGAAGAGAAGTTAGACAGGCACGCTTACCATTCACCAATCAGAGACGTAGCTATGGGTAAAAGGTTCCTGTCTCAGCCACGGAAGTTGTTTTAGAAGTAAAAATTTGCAGGCAAGCAAGGTTTGTGGAGATTTGGGCATATATATGGGGGCTGAGGGGGCAGGGGTGGAGGAAAAAGAGGGAGGTGGAGAAAGGGAAATTTGTCATGCTTTCCTAGAGTATTACTTAATTGCCTAGTCACCCTTCACTTTAAGACAATAGGGTGATCTGGAAAGCAGCCCCTGAGGTGAGATGAGAGCTGGGCCTGAGTTCAGGCTCTGCCACTGGCTATGTGGGCAGGGGCAAGTCTATTAGCTTCTCTGAGCTGCAATCTCTGCATGTATAAATTTCTTAGAAATCTGTCCCACTTCCCCCCAAGGGCAAGTGTAAGAAACAAATGCAAAATCAACACAGAGGTAATTGGTAAAGTCTGTACACATGTAAATACATTATTACTGTGCAGCACACACGAGTCTCCTTACTGTCAAAATAATTCAAAATTATGCATCAAAAATAATTCATTAAGTTGTTATCAAAAATAATTCAAAATAATTCATCATTATGCCCTGTTCATGCTGGGACAGTAGTCCACAGCGAGGGATAACCTGTAAGGACCTCTCCTTTAACCCATCAGTGCCAGGAAGTTTAGAAGCATTTCCTGACATGCAGCTACCCATGATTCCTAGGGTTAAATCACTCAACCAAAATATGCGTCACCTTAGGTTCTGGAAACCAGGAAGAATAAGGAAGTGTATACATGGACAAGCCCAGAAAGCTGGGAGCCCTGGTGCTCTGGTGGGCTAGTCTTGGCCTATGTGGCTCTGAACCACTCAGGGGACACAGACAGTGTGATATACCAAGAGGGCCAGTGCAGTCAAGAGCTGTGGCCCTATCTCCAGCTAGCAAGGCACTCAGCTCTAGACTCCACCGTGTACCCAGTGAGGGCATTGAGCAGAGCGATGTTTCCCAAAGCACAGTCCTCAGACTCTAGGCTTGAGGAATTCTTGTCTTGCAAGATTCTCCATGGAACAAATGAGTCCTAATGAGGTCAGTTAGAGAGCCCTGGCATGTGCTAGCCCGTCCTGGAAATGTCTGTGCCTCTTAATTCTGTTTCATCCAGTATTTCCCATAAGTGTTTGCCCACATCCCTGAGGAATACATTTGGGAATCAGGGATTGGCCAACTGTAGGTCACAAGCCAAATCCTGCCACTGCTAAGCTGAGAACGGCTTCACCTTGCAACCTAAGAGAAGTTTTTACATTTTTTAATGATTGGGGGAAGAAACCAAAAGAAAGCCAGTATTTTCAGGTTTCAGTGTCCATAAATGAAGTTTTCGTGGGTCACAGCCAAGCCCGTTTGTTGACATATTGTCGCTAATTGCTTTTGTGCTACAGAGGCAGAGATGAGTAGTTGTGACTGAGACCATATGGCACGCAGAGCCTAAAATATTCCCTAGCTGGTTCTTTACAGGAAGAGTTTGCCCAACCTGGGTCCAGGCTTGAGAAACGGAAGTAGGGATGTGACATGGGGGACAGGATAACCTCCTCCAGCTCAGTGGAGATCAAAGAAAAGAAGAGAGTGAATAGCACAGGCCCGTGGCAGACTCTTCCCAACCTCTCTGGCACCACACCCCCTCCCTCCATCTCGTACTCCATGTTGTTTATTTTCTTAAGCAAACAAAACACTCCTATGCAATCCTTGGCCAGCAGCCTGCTCGGCTATACCTGCCACCAGCAGGAATCCTTTGTTCCTGGAGGGCCTGAGTCTTACCCTCCAGAACCAGGCACAGCCCCCCAGCACACTCTCTTTTCCCCTGTGAGGATTTAGGGCATTACCAAGAACCCCTAACTAACGACCATGAGATAAAGATGTCAAGAGGCAGTGATGAGACAGAAAAAAGACCAGGTGAAAGTGCTGGAGTAATAGGTGAGTGGGAGGCAGGAGACAGCTAAGGCAGGAAGCTGAGAGGGAAAATGAGCCCCGAGGGCAGCTGCAATTGTAGACTACCATCTGCAGATAGGCGGGGAGGGCAGGCACGCGGGATGAGCTGTTACAGGGCAGGCTGGAACAGAGGCATGAGGTCATGGATACACCTTGGCTGACCGCAGGATACACCTGGGATTATGAGTAGCTCACTCTGTCTGAGAAAGGAATCATACAACATGGATAGTTTAGGCAAACACGTGCCTGGGCCTCAGCCTCTGATGAGCTTATCAGAGCATCATTACCTGAGAAGGAAGGGCAAGGAGAGAACCTAGAGACATTGGCCCAACATCAACTAAGAATCTAGTTGCACAGGCTTTGGAGGCAGGCAGACCTGGGTTCAAAATGTGATTGAGCCACATATGAGCCCTCTGAGTCTCAGCTTCCTTACTTGTGAAATATTAAGACCATGAGGATGGGATGACCTGCAGCTCTGATCGCCAGGTGTGGTCCATGAGCCAGCAGTAATAGCATTATCTGGGATCTTGTTAGAAATGCAGAAGCTTGGGCTGGGTGCAGTGGCTCACATCTGTAATCCCAGCATTTTGGGAGGCCAAGGTGGGAGGATCGCTTGAGCCCAGAAGTTTGAGGTCAGCCTAGGCAACATGGCATAGACCCCATCTACAAAAATATGTAAAAATTAGCTGGTTGTGATGGCACATACCTATGGTCCCAGCTACTTGGGAAGATGAGGCAGGAGGATCATTTGAGCCTGGGGGGGTTGAGGCTGCAGTGAGCCATGATCTTGCCGCTGCATTCTGCCCTGGGAGACAGAGCAAGACCCTGTCTCAAAAAACTAACTAAATAAAAATAAAGTAGAATCTCAAGCCCTTCCAAAAAATGACTGAATTAGAATATGCGATTTAAGAACCTTCCAAGGTGATGCTTATGTACGTTAAATTCTGAGAAGCATCAGCATAAAACACATGAAAGAGTTAGTGTCTTCCCCGCGGTAAATGCTTAATCAGGAAGAGCTCCAAGTGACAGGAGGAAGGACTGATTTAGGGGATCTCAATGGGGTGACTCCATACTCGGGACACTGGGCAATGTCTGGGGACATTTTTGGTTATCAGAACCGGGAGGTGCTATTAGCATCTAGTGGAATGGGCTGGGAATGCTGCTAAACAGCCTATAGGGCACAAGACAGCCCCTCATCACAAATAATTATATGACCTAAGGTCAATAGTGCTGAAGGTAAGCAACCCTGGATTAGAAGGAAGCAGTGGCTATGGGGGAAATAGCTGGAATAGGAACAGAGAAAGAGAAGAACATAACCTTTACTGGGAAGGGAGGCAGTAGACTGGTCAGATGATCAGGGGAGTGGGAAAAACAAGATGGCAAGTTGGAAGGCAGTGGCCAGAGGCCGCCAGGTGGGAACGGTGGGGAGACCTGGCTCACTGGCCCACCTCTGGGGAAGCACCAAGTCTCAGACTTTGAGAGGTTGAAGGAAGTGGGGCTGGTCCTCTTGTCCAGATTCATGTATTTTTATCCAAACTCTCTCCTGGACCAGACCAAGGTCTGCAGCTCTACTAACCTCTATGAAAGGATGGAACTTGAGGAGTTTTACAGAAATAATGGGTAGAAGAAAAGTATATCTAAAGATAAATCTTTACATACAAGGCTGTTGTTTTTTTCTCCAAAATACTCATTAGATTCAGAGGTTTTATTCTAATAATCTCATGCCGTCTCTGTCCTGTATATCTCTCTGCAGAGACTGAATTTCACATTTGAGAAATAAATCTACTCACATTCCATACCCCCTACAAAATCCTTTAAACCTAACGGGAGAGAAAGGGACTGAGCCACCATGGGCCAGAGTTCCTTCTCCACTTCCACTCCCGTGTGAGGCAATAAAGAGGTCACTCTTAAACCTAAACCTCCCCTCTTTCCGATGGATGCAAAGGCCT